AAAAAAAAAAAAAAAAAAAAAAAAAGAAAAAAAAGAAAAAAAAAGAGAGAAAAAGAAAGAAAAAAAAAAAAAAACCTTTGGACCCTGTTTTTTAACGTACCCAGAATCCCTCCGACCAAGAGAAGTTTCAGAGGATATGACGTAGATGTTGTTGAACCTGTCTATGTTGGGGAGTTCCCTCTAGTTTTGCGTATCGCACAAATGACAGTTCAAAATTATGGTCTTGGTTTGTCCAGTAAAGTTTTAATCTGGAAACATATTATTGATAGATTTTTTTTTCAACTATTGTTTTTTTTTTTTATAAACTTTTCTAATACTAGTTCGTGTGGCAGCTGATGCATCTGTCTCTGGTGGAATGGACAAGGAGACATCCCTAGCATGGATCATATGTGGAAACGGTCTCTTATCATCTACTGCTTCAAGAAAATGTATCAACATTGACCTAACGTCTGTTAAAGAAGATATTTTTGGAGACGTGAGCAGCAGCTCATTTGAACCTAACAATTGGTTAGTCCGTTTTGTCAACTGGGATAGCTTGAAGAAAGCTGGTAGCATCACTGTCCAACAGCTCAATTCAGCTGGGATTATATTGTGTAACAAAAAAACTGGTGCTCTACTTTTCTGGCCAGATATCTCAAATGCTGATAGGATGCTTCCATTCACGTCTCGTGCCTTTTCCGACAAGCTTGGCAATAATGCTGCAAAATCATTTTATATTAACTCTTTGATAACTTCACCTGTCTCGTCTACCAACAAAAGTTGTATCGCACTTGCATGTATTTCTAATGGTGAACTTTGGAGATTCTTCTGTAGCCCTTCTGGTATTCAGCTTGAACAGATTGAGCTTGGCATGTCAAATAAATTATCTGAAGGAAATGATAACGGTTCATCTGTGGCAAGTAAAGGCTATCCCAGGTCACTGATTTGGCAGTTTTCTAGTCATTCATCGGATGACACTACAAAACAGTTCCTTCTGCTAACTAATCACGAGATACAGTGCTATGCAATAAAGCTTTCCTCTGATTTAGATGTGGTAAAGCTTTGGTTTCATGAAATCGTCGGGGTTGATGGTGATTTGAATATACAGAAAAACCTTGGCGGCCAAAAGAGGATTTGGCCTCTAGATTTGGCTGTTGATAGTGATGGCAAGGTAATAACTGTTCTAATTGCCATCTTCTGCGAGGATCGGGTGACCAGTTCAAGCTACAGTGAGTATTCCCTTCTGACCATGCAATACAAATCTGGAGTAGATATAACGAAGCCAATAGGCAAACAAATACTGGAGAAAAAGGCCCCTAACCAAGTTATTATACCTAAAGTTAGTGTAGAGGATGAGGAATTTTTGTTCTCAATGAGATTAAAGGTAGGTGTAAAGACAGCTGGTTCTGCTATTATACTCTCAGGTGATGGTACTGCAACAGTTTCTAACTATTTTAGAAACTGTACAAGGCTTGTCCATTTTGATTTGCCCAAAGATGCTGGAAAAGTTCTTGATGCTTCAGTATTCCCTTTCCTTGAGGAAACTGAAGATGGAACTTGGGTGCTCACTGAGAAAGCTGGAGTTTGGGTTGAACCACCCGAACGAAGCTTGTCACGAAAATGGAGTTTTAATGATGGATCTCTACAGGAGGAAAGGAGCATTTCTGTTGCTAGAAACATTGCTGCAAAAAGAGCCAGTACAGAAGCTTGAGCTTGGGAAGCAGGTGATAGGCAACGAGTGGGTTTAACCGAAGGTGCACGTCGTATTCCTCAAGACGATGAATCGCAACATTTGCTAAGCCAGTTTTTCCATGAATTTCTCTTGTCTGGACAGGTTGATGGTGTCCTCGATAAATTGAAAAATTCAAGGGCTTTTGAAAGAGAGGGAAAGATAAATGTATTTTCCAGGATGAGCAAATCAATTGTTGACACCTTAGCTAAACCCTGGACGACAACCAGGGGATCTGAGATTCCTCTATCTGTTGTGTCCACTCAACTATTTGATAAGCAACAAAAGCATAAGAGGTTTCTTCAGTTCCTTGCTTTGTCCAAATGCCATGAGGAATTGTACCACCGACAGAGTATGATCATTTTAATTATTTGGATTATGTTATGTTGCCTTTTTTTTTTTTTTCCAATTTCATTCTGCTTTTCTTTTATAATTCTGAAATTCTCTCTTTCTCCCTCTCTCTGTGATTTCTGATGATGTTTATTCTCTGACTAGGACAATCTATGCAAATTATCATGGAACATGGGGAAAAGCTTGTCAGCATGATTCAACTGAGAGAACATCTAAATGCAATTAGTCATGCTACCGAGTCTGGGATTGGCTCCTACTATGACTCAGATGCTCGGACTTCTGGAGCTCTATGGGATCTTATCCAGTTAGTTGGTGAGATGGCCCGCCGGAACATAGTTCTTTTGATGGATAGGGATAATGCTGAAGTATTCTATAGTAAGGTCTCAGAGCTCGAGGACCTGTTTCATTGCTTAGAGGGAAAGCTAGAACATATTATCACCCAAAATATGCCTATTACTCTGCAATCTCAAAGAGCTTGTGAACTTGCAAATGCATGTGTTACAATCTTCCGTGCAGCCGTTGACTATAGGGCTGATCACCACTTGTGGTACCCTCCACCCGAGGGATTGACACCGTGGTATTCAAATTTTGTTGTGTGCAGTGGGCTGTGGAATCTTGCATCATTCATGCTTCAATTGCTTAGTGGAACAGAACGGCTTAAAGTTTCTGTCGTACTTGATTTTTACTCAAATCTTGTAGTACTCTCAGAGATACTACTCGAATCATATTCTAATTCTATCACAGCAAAAGTCGATTGGAAAGAAGATCATCGAAGTCTGTTAGAGGAGTACTCAAAATGTAGAGATACCCTTCTCGACTCCCTTTATAAGCAAGTGAAAGATTTCATACATGCAAAGTTACAGGTAACTACTTTGAATATTTAATATATTTATATAAATATATTTATTTATATATTATATACATAAATATTATGTAAAGTATCATATTAGATAATATAAGTTATATATCATTATTGTTATTAAAAAATATTTTTTTTAATTTCTTCAGCATTTTTTTAATATATACTAGTACAGATCCCGTGCGATGCACGGGGTGCACAAAAGTCATTTATCAAGTCTTATAATTATATAAATGAATAAAGAAAAAATTACGGGATATATAGTATGTGACTTGTAATAGGCCAAAATGTGAACACGGGTGATGCACAGGGTGCACAATTTAGGTCATTTATGAGTATAGAGTCCGTGCGATGCACGGAGTGCACAACTTTATAGTATGTGTAATACAAATACATACGGTACACACGAGACAAAAGCGCTAAATGAGTTATTTTCACAAAGCTTGCTCGTTAAGTAGCTCCTGAACACAGGTGCACAATTTGTAGTACGTACCATAAAATCAGAACAGATTTTCATACAATTAGATAATAAATTAGATAATAAATAAAGTCTTTTTTTATTTTAGTAAAGATTTTACGTACTTTTTTATTTCTATCCAATTTTGTAGGATGCATTAAATATTGATTAGATTTTATATGAATAAAACAAAAAATAACTGGAATAGTTTTACGTGTTGCAATATTTTATATTTAAAAAAATTAAAAAATCTTCTTTTACGTATTGCATACCAACATTTTATGAACTACATGGATATTCCTAAATTAATATCGCATACCCAATATTTTAGGAACTAATTAAATACTAATTTGATTTGCATACCAAAAATATTAGATACATTAATTAAATACTTGATAAAAATAGCAAATCATTAATTAGATCCATTCCTAAATTAATATTGCATACCCAATATTTTAGGAGCTAATTAAATACTAATTTGATTTGCATACCAAAAATATTAGATACTTTAATTAAATGTTTGATAAAAATAGCAAATCATTAATTAGGGTTGACTATTCTACATATTACATTTAGTAAATAGTATAGCTTTTAATATAACTATAGATAAGATTAAATCAAAATAAGAGATTCATTAAAAAATAATGACCATAGTTATCTCTTTTAGGTGAGTATCCACACATTCCTATAATCTCTCCACACAATTAATTTTTGAATTCAAAATGTAATATTTAATTTGTACCAAAAAAAAAAAATGTGGTATTTAATTCGTGTCTTTTTATCTCTCTACACCAAAAATTTTTGAATTCAAAATATGATATTAAATTCGGGCTTTTTTATTTTTTGGGGCTTTCTATAATTAGGATGTCAAAGGTATTATTTTTTTGGTCAAAAGTTTCTAAAAAAAGTTTTAACCAACAACCTTTTTATATATAGATAGATTAACGAAATATATTTATATGTAACAAAATATTAACGAAAGATTTTTGTTAATAAGTTTTTTAAAATATATTAACGAAATACAAAGATTTATTTTTTTAATATATATTTAACGAAATATATTTATATTTAACAAAATATTATTTTTTTAATTTTGTGTAATTTTTTTATTCTTTTAATATATATATATATATAATCGATATATATATATTTATATTTACTATTTATTAATTTCTTTTTATATTAAACAAAATATTAACGATATATTTTTATAATAATTTTTCAATATATATTAACGAAATATAATGATTTTTTTATATATATTATTTTTTATTTTTTAGATTTTTTTATTTTTTTTTTGGTTTTTTTTTATCTAGTTGTAATGCCACATCAACCACTTATACAGCACATAGGAAAATTAAAGAAAGATTATATGCCACGTCATTACTTAATCCCGCCACGTCAGATTTTCATCCCACAGGGGTTATTACCATGATTAGTGTATCTTTTCCAACCAAAATGCCAACTAAATGTTTCTTTTCCGTGCGGGACAACGTAATGTCTCTTTTCTTGACAACTCCCAACTTAGTGTATCTTTTTTGTAATTTTGCCCATCCCAGCTCATATAATTTGCTTTTATTTGCGATTCATTTGTCGATTTATTTGGATGCATCTATAATCGTTACCTGTTTTGCCGTGGCAGGATTCACCTGAGTTAAATGAGGAATTGAATAAGGATACTCTGATGACATTTTCTTCGAAGTTATTGTCAATTGCAAAACGCCATGAGGGCTATCAGACTATGTGGAACATATGCTGTGATCTCAACGATTTCGAACTCCTCCATGAGTCTCATGTGGTACCACAAGCC